GGGGGGGGTATGGATCTTTTCTGGAACGACCCAATGCGAAAAATTTTGCGCGAAAAGGTTGAACGCATGCGCAACATGATTTTGGAATGTTTCTCAGCGAAATATTTCTCTTCGCTGGGTAGTTGAATTCGTTTCTATATATACTCCCTTGCGAAATAGAAATAGCGAAACCAATCAAATGCTTGTGTTATGGATGACAAAATAGCGAAACCAATCAAATGCTTGTGTTTTGGTGAATTTTTTCTCTACTGTGGAAATCACTACAAGAGAAAATTTTCGCACAAGTGTGTTTTCGCGCGAAATATTTCGCATTTCGCTCGCTGTGGAATTAGGCCTTTACTAAGTTTAAATAACAATATCCTACAAAGTACGACCTACATATTACACAATAATTGTGAGTTTATAGCGGGCAAAATACGACTGAATATCTATCGACGTTATCTGGGGTGGGTGAATTAATAATGTCAATTTGACGTTATTTGTGGCAACATGGATAGTTATGGACGCGGGCCCTTAAAGTTTCGCTTTATAGTCAACTCGGCCCACTAACCAACTTGGCCCACCATATTTCAAGGAACAACTCCAGCCGCTCGTAAACTGACTAATCTAACCACTAAACAAGCTAGGAGCAGTGGTTCTATCTTTGCAAATTTTGAGAGAGATTTGAATGATCAGTAATTTAGTATCAAAACGGACAGAATTTGAAACTTCGACAGATTCTTGAATTAAATTATAAAGTCAAACTGGAAGTTCTCAAACTTTACTCATCTGTATGCCCAATGCAACTGCAAATGGCTGTATTGGTTTGATGCTATCTTCTGTAAAATATTAGCTTTCCTAATATGTCAAACAGTAGTTAACAATTGGGCCAAGATGGTATGGGCTGAGTTGGTCACTGGGCCGAGTTGACCAGCTTCCAAAGTTTCTACAACACAACACTATTTCTACTGTAGAAATCTACATTTTAATATTTAATATTTATATCATTTCAACAGTCTTAATTTTTAAACTGCGCACTACTTACGAAGTTTGGTGAAACATTTTCTTCTTTTCACCTTACTGATCACTGTGATCAGACCAAAACTAGCATGGTTCTTAACATGCCATCTAAATGATCTAAAACCAGTTCTAAAACACAACGTTAAATTAACGAAAAATTGCCGCCATCTTGGTTTGAAATGACCGCGCCAGGACACTCGTCACCAGGACAGGTCACGATTTGTCGATTCGCGATGGAGGGCATGCGGAACACAGGGGGTCCAACTAACAGCTGTGTTATGAATAAAACATATTAATTAAACGTAATATGAATAAAACATCATAACGTAATATTGCACTTACTTGTATAAATCATAAGAGCTTGCATTTTAATACAGTGAATAGCTTCAAAAACTTGCTTCGTTCCAAAGACTTCAAATATGGCAAATAAATTGACAAAACGATAATATTACATGACGTTCCAACGAAAATAACAGAAAGGATTGCGGGCGCGAGCGGAAGGCGAGGGTAATAGATATTAATAGAAGGGATGAAACACCGGTAATGCGATCGTGTGATGTGTTCCATAAGTAGCCTGTTCTCTCGGAAAATTCCAAAACGCCTCCTGCCAACTCCAACAACGCCTACGCGCTTAATTAATGAAAATAAACAATGTTTAGCTATACCGGCTAATATGAAATGTTTAAATGTAGCGACCAACGTTTTTTTTTTACATTATTTAGTTTTATTATTATTTCGTCATACGTCACGAGAACAGGCTACTTATGGAACACATCTCGCGATAATGGCCAAGAAAGCTCGCTGTTATAAATCACATAAATTAGATTGATCAGTGCTTTTTTGGTAATGACTAGGCTTGTTCATGTAAGAGAACATCGACTGAGCCTTAAAAACCCCACAAAAAGCTTAAACGGATAGTCTAGAAGCATTTTAAAAAGTCACGTGATATTTGTTTCATCCTTCT